TATAATTAGGCAGCTTATTGTATAGTTTTGGCGCCATCGCAAAGAGGGTAGTCTTACAGGCAACCACTTTCAATTTATTGTGTCTTCGTGTACTTTCCACCATGCTGAAGAGTGTGAGATTTCTCCGAACAAAAAGAACCGTTTCAAAATTTGGATATTGAAGGAACTGTTAATAATCTCAGTTTTTGAAAGTGCGGTATACAGCTGTCCATACGGCACCACCCACAAATTTCCCAAATGCACCTTTTTTGTGCAATCAACACGTCCGTACTTCGTTTGGCATTACCCCAGAACATAATATCGTAATCTTATGGTTGAGGCTGCATATCCGCGGTAAGCCGTTAGTAATGCATCTTGGTCTACAACTTTAGATAGTCTCCACAAAGCGTATGCAAATCTAGTTATTCTCATACACAAGATTTCTATGTGTTTTTCCCATGTTATATTATTGTCTATGTATATTCCTAAAAATTTTGTAACTTCCTCCTCCTTTAATTTTGTATTCATATAGCTTATGTTATGTTGAGTATATATTAATTTTGTGTCTAAAATTCATGTACACAGTTTTACTCAGATTAATTTGTACTCTATTATCTTGTAACCATTTTATTACAGATATTATTTCATTGTTTATTTCTTGGTCAAGTCTATTGTGGTTCTCAATGTCAAAAATTGCGGTACTATCATCCGCAAACATTAGCATGGGATATTTTGTAGCTGTAGGAAAGTCATTGATATACATCAGGAACAATAGAGGGCCTAGTACACTTCCTTGGGGTACTCCATGTAACACTGTTCTATTAGTTGAAAAATATGATATGTCAGTTTTAATTTTAGTCGATATTTTATTGATGCATGTCATTTGTTTACGATTAGTCAAGTATGATTCTAATAGTTTGTGTACATTGCCTCTGATCCCATATCTATACAGTTTTTGTAATAAGATTTTATGATTGACAAATCAAAAGCCTTTGTCAAATCCATGTATAGTGTTATGATAGATTTACTTTTATCTACTGCTTTTAAAACAGTAGACAGTAACTCGTAAATAGCCAAATTAATTGATTGACCCTTCCTAAAGCCATTCTGATTATTGATTAAAATTTTAATTGTCTCTAAGTAGCATGTTTTCATTTATAACTTTCTTCTAAATCTTAGCTAAAATTGGAATGAGAGAAACAGGCCTGTAGTTATTAATATTTTCTTTGTCATCTTTTTTGTATAGAGGTTTAACTATTGATATTTTTAATTCTTCGGGGAATATTCCTTGCTCTAATGATAAATTTATTAAATATGTCAGTATTGGAGATATAAATTCAGATACATACTTAAGTACCGTTGTATTTATCTCATCATACCCTGTACTCTGTGTGTTTTTCAAATTCTTTATTTTTTTAGTTATTAATTGCATTGGCAATTTGTGTTGGATCTGTTAGGATCTTTGTAAAATATTCTGTTAACATTTATTTTAGGCATTATAGCGTTATAACTGTTTATTACTTCCCATGTAGCTTTAGATTTATTTATTGAGTTTTTGATAAAAAAAAAAATATTTTGAGCTTTTTTAGTTAGTATACCCAATCTGATTGGGTATACTAACTATATTTTGCGATTATTTGCGCTTTTAGTGCCCATCCTTGTTATGTCATCATTGTTGTTCTCGCTATTGTTTCTCTTTTGGTTGATATAACCAGAAAAAGAGATGAAATAAGGGCCATCTATCCCTGGCAACTCATTTAAATATCAACTCTCGTTTGTGCTGAAATCACAAATTAGAAAACTGAAATAGTACAGTAGAAACATCTAATTACAAAACAAATGGAATCATCACATTTCATCGGTAATTATATTTAATAAAAAAAAAATATTTTAAATATGTAATTTTGCAATTTTCGTCCATTATAGCAAACCTCAAGTTAAACTGGGCGAATTGAAGTGAAACAATTGTTTCGAATTCGGGCTGGCCAATGGGAGCGCAGTTGTCACCGTAATTATTTGGCAGAATAGTTTTTAAACAAATTAAATAACGTTTCGTCTCTATTTTTGGTTATATACTCGATGTTTGTAAAATAAACCGTAATAGTAAATTTTCTTTGGATTTGCTCACTCTTTGAGCACTAAACCCCATTGATACAGGCCGCTACACGCCTCCTTTTTTGAAATCGGTTAAAAAAGACAAATAAAGTTTTTTGTGAAAAAAATATATTTAATTTCGTACTATTTCGTCAAATTCATCACTTAAAAATCGCAATTCCATTCAATGATTACAATTATATCGATTCGGCTACTTAACATTAAATTGGCACTTAGTGAGCACGAAATAAAATGTACAGCGTATTTACACTATTGTTATTAATTAATTGGTAATATAAATACTTATAACTTGTTTTTATTATGACAGAAGTACGTAATGATAAATGTTATTTACGTATGTTTTGAAACATGGTATAAGGAGAACATTTTTAAATTAGTTTAAAAGAAAATCTTAAAAGTTGTTATGTTGGAGTAGTTATCGAAACTTTGCCACAAATAATGCTCTATTACGCTGTATTAGCTTCTTCAATAGTCAAATGTACGTACGTATACAAAAATCAGCAAAAAAAATTTTGACATATTTTTTTAATTAAAATTAGCAAGGAGTGCTAGTAATTTAACACATAAATACGAGAGACTATAATGGTAACTATAAATCTATTTACATTTAGAAGAAGCTAAACTCTAAATAAGTATTAATTGCCCATTTTTGTGGCTTTCAAAATAATTGTCACAACCGCAAACGAATAACATAGTATTGACGAGTATTTTTTTATAAAGTATCTGTTTTACATAAAACTAAAGTTAAAAGCAGGACATTTACATAGTGGAAAATTTATTTATCGCCGCCTTATTTTCCGAACCCTCAAGTACGTAAATATAGTGTAATTATAAATAGACACCTTTAGATTGTTTTACAAATTTAAAAAATATCAACTAGGAGTGCTTGCTACATTCTGATCTACTTCTTTTTTGTTTGTTTTCGGTATATTTATTGTTATAGTCACAGTAAAGTTACAACTAAATCCTCCGTCATCTGATACTGCTACAAACCAACTAATGAGGTCTGCCGATTCGTTCCGTAGCTCAATTGGGAGCGCAATTAGCCCGTGTCTGGCAAACAGGTGATGGCAAACTGGCGAATCCAGCCAGATAGAAAGAATTTTTCTTTGTATTGTTCGATCTTAGTATCAATAATAATACCCAAACATAATATGAATATCATGATAATAAAAACATGATATTCAATATTAGTTATTTCTAATGCGAGGCTGCAAAGTTGTTGTTTTTCCGCGAGTGCTTGTATTGAATCCTGAGATGCAAAACAACTTTACTGCCGAGCGAAACACACAACTTTTCACCTCACTATAACGAAGAAAATGAAGAAATACAGTTGAACTATAACAAATCAGTTTAGTTCTTTGAATTATTAAAAAATTTATTAAACAAAATTACTTATCGTTGTCAATTTAATGTCAACAATAAGAAGAATAAAATATATCAACGGATTTATATTACATAAACAATGTACGACAAATCGCATATTTGAACGTGTCATTGTGTTTTTTTTATCGAAAAAAAAAGTTAGGTGCACCACAGTCCTTAGTCAAGTTCGAATTTCAAAAACCATTTTCACGCTAGGGTGAAAAAAAACGCGCGGATTTCTAAAGAGAAAGAAAGCCTTTCTGAGCCATTGAGGTGAAAAATAAATATTGCAGCCAACTACTGAGTATAATAACGTGATGCCAATTAAAAATAAATCAATCTGCCGACTCAGAATTGTTCGGCACTACACAAAAAATTATCTTATATCGAAATAATATTAACTTTTTCTCAATGTTCGAGTGACTCATCACTCATTTGACATTGAGAAAAACTAGTCAGTTGTCAAACTTTCATGAATCAAAATCCTCGAAGTCCCATAAAGGCCGGCGCAGACTGACGTCGCGGCACGGCACGGCATGCCGCGGCACATTCGCTGCGCGCCATTCGCCGAAATCGCCGCCGCACTAGTTTCAAACCTTATTTCAATTAGTTTAATTGTCATAATTCTGTGACCGACGTGACTTGCGGGACGTCTGTGGAATGAAACGGCATGCCACGATGTGCCGCGGCATACCGCGGCGTCCTGCGGCATGCCGCGGCATGCCACGACGTGCCGCGGTATAATTGTATCGAAATAAAGTAATATGAATTCTAACCTCGATGAAATAAGGATAAAAATAACTTGATCAAAAATAAAATCCTTTGCCGTGCCGTGCCATGCCGCGACGTCACTCTGCGCCTTAATGTGTTTTTTAACGGTATCAGATGACGTAGGATATCTTACGTTCGGCGTTCAAACTATGATGTTGACTACTTGCTACTAAACTACTTGCAAAAAGTCACTGTTTTTTTTTCATATTAATATAATATTAAGTCGAAGTAAAAATGGACTGTAAATTTTCCCATTTTTTATAACTTTACCTTCACAATTTTATTATATATATGCAAAACGTAGTTTAGTACACATTTGTGGATGGAATACATAGAGCATTTAAAAGCTAAGGCGTTTGATCAAATTCTGTAATTATATATCTCATTTACAATATAACTAATTATTTGAAACGGAGATTTGAACAGAACTCCAGTTGATTTTTAAAATACTTACCACAAACAATAAGCAATTATAAGGATTTAACATGATTTGTTGGTCTTATAATTTTACGCTAAAAGATGTTTACAAAAGTTGGAATAGTAATAGGAACAATGGCTTTGTTTACACAAAATATTATTAAAAATATTTATAGACGTTTTCGGAATCACGTTCTTTTCAATTAAAAACAAAATATATACAGTTAAACTTACACTAAAAAGCACTTAATCAGTATACTTTTAAATATAAAAATTATGCTTTCAGTTATAATATAATAGAAAAAGAAATGCACATTTCTATAAAAAATATCTAAAACTAAATATTGTCACATTCGCTTAAAATTTGTATTTTGTACAATAAAAATAAAACCACATTTTTTTAACATTCTTTAAGACATTAACAATTCAATTACTTCTTAATGATATGTTTGTCATCGATTGGCATTACAAGAATCTCATCAAAACTATTATAAGCAGTACCCTGTACTAGCTAGCACCTTTCGCTTCTTCTGGCCACAATATTTCTGGGTGATTCAACATGTAATAATTCATATGTTTCTCGCCACCATACGTCGACGCTTTCGTTCCTAGACACATCATGAACTGACTCTTCTCCAAGTTCTTATCACAGTCTACAGAATGGAAGATGTGCACCAAACTCTCGTCTGCTATACGGTATACCGTCAAATTTGACTTTATCATAGTCTCGAACAATTCTACATCCTCCTTACCCCACCCTTTGATATTCAAATCAAAACCACCAACCCTCTCAAAATCACACTTATAAATACTCAATATACCGAAACCGTACTGTCTAAAGTACCCATAATCATCACTTATCTCTTTACTGTACTTCAAATTCGCTAATTCTCTATCCGATTTAGAAACAGTATCGTCATTCACATATTTACCTAAATCCGTGTTTGTCACAAGACTATCTTCTTTAAATTTGTTGTAGTCCTCACCGTTCACTACGTCAGGATTGTATTCACTAAACACTATTGGGAAGTAAGCTTGATGATACTTAATGGTGTTTATTCTTATTTTCCTAAGGGTATCGAAATTGAACATCATGTCCACGTCTATAAAGAACACTAGATCGTCACTAGAACACAATTTTAGTCCTTCTGTTAAAGCCGCGCCTCTTGAAAACGTCGTCGATCCCATTTCAACGACATTAATTTCTTGTGCATATGTATTTATGTAGTACTTGATAAGGGATTCAGAATTATTGTAATCCAAAGGACTCTTACTGTCTAAATATAATACGACTATTAATGTCACAGCCTCATAAAATTTTAGTACTATGTCCTCGTAATTTTTCATGAATCTTATAAAAACCTCGTATTTACCAGCTAAAGGAAGAATGAAGTGTATTTTTCTGTCAAATATAGAATATTCTGCTTCCTTCGCAACACCCCATTTTAATACATTGGGCAGATTTTGTAACTTACTCAAGCCACTTTGGAAAGCCTCTCTGACGTTTAGTTTGCCAAAATCGAGAACGCTACTCTGCTCGAGTTTACTGTCATCGAAATCTTCGTAATCACTAAAATCGTTATTTTCGGGATCATCGTCGTCGAACGGCAACGGTGGTTCTCCCATAGGCAATTCTCGAATATCCATACCTATAAAATTAAACAGGCAAATTAATTTAAACGTCTCTGGCTTCATCCAAAATTATTATAAAATCTGTTGAATATTTATTCTTAATCTCATTTATTTGCATACCATAACATAATTTCATTTCAATATTTAATATTTTTTAATTGATTCGTTAGATTTTGAAACAATCTCTTACTTTTGGTAGGAAACCTACATTTAATGAAGACGCAAAATTGTTTAACTTGATAATAGATATACAGAATTTGAGCTTGACAACCACGAATATGTTTCTGAAATTATAATAACAATCTTACTAGTAAAAGACTGCTGGAGATAGGCGTGTCTTCGAACCGCCACTGTCATCTTCCGTCCTCTGTATCTGCGGTACTTGAGTAGAAGATCCAACACGTGATCGGCTCCATGCAGCGGGTCGAGGCGTGTGTATCCGTACAGCAGTTCGTTGAAGTCAATCACGCGCCCGCGTTGCCGGGACGGCGCGTTTATTATTTCCATCACCTACAAATACATTTTGACTCTTGAATTACAGCAGTCAAATCAAAGTAAATAATAATTAATTCCATAGGTAAAATTTTACACTTGAAAACGTCATTTTTAAGCTACTGCTCGTTCACTGTGTCAACTTCCCTGAAAAGAACGAGAGAGAAACTCTAAGGATTGCTCTTTTCAAACTCATGACTCATGTTGTCTTTCCACACATCTTTATCTAACACGTAGTTTTCAATTTTGTACTTTTGTACTTTTCAGTTAAAATACTTTCAATGTTAGTTTTAAACTTAGGAAATGGTAATCGTAATATAAGCTCCGGAATCTTATTGTAAGAACGTATACAGTTCTCCATAAAAGAAATCGTGGTACCATGAGTTTGGATCATAGATATAGGGTTTGGACTGACTTCTAATGTTAATATTATGGATATCTTCTTTCTTAACGAAATTATGTATATTTTTACGGGCGTTAAAAATGTTTGAGTAAATGTAGTGTGAAGCCACAGTCATGATACCAGTCTCCTCAAACTTTTCTCTGTGAGAAACCCAAGAATCTAAACGGTACACAGAACCAATCGCTCGTTTTTGCAACACAAATATGATATGTATATCTGTCGCTTTACCCCACATGAGAATTCCGTAGGACATTATACTATGGAAATAACTAAAATAAACTAGACTAGCAGTAGCAACATCGGTAAGCTGGAATGCTCTACCGCATCTGTATATCCCGAAAAGTACAATTTGGGGCTATTCAAGGCGAGAGTGAATAGACATTTTTAGTCAAACGCGTCCCATCGTCGGTCACATCGTCGCTTAACGTCAGGTGGATTGTGGTCAAGTGTGTGTCTATTATATATTAAAAGTGTGTAGGAAACCATTGAAATTTACTATCTAAGGTCACTCCCAAAAAGACAGCTTTATTAACAAAGTCTAACGTTTCTCCATTTATTTCTGTGATTGGGCTAGTCCATTTTACATTAGGTAATTCAAATTTAACATACTTTATCGTCTTGGCATTGAGTAATAAATTGTTAACATTAAACTAATAAACTACCTTTGAAAGGGTATATCATTGGTTATCATTGTCAAAAGGTTTATGACAGCACAACGGTCATCACGATACTATATGCAAGCACAAGTAACACAAAGTGCAAATAAAGCTTTTAGGCATGCACCAAGGTATTTAAAAAAAAAATAACGCGTATAGCACCTGCATGCGGCGACCATTTAACCCAGGTCTCCGAGCTCTTAGTAGGGTAGGAAGGTGGTCCAATATAGTGAGAATTGAACAAATACCTCCATGAGACGCTCATGTTTCAGTGTGTGAAAGATAAGCAAACTAGATAGTGGGTAAGTCGATAATAATATCCACGGTTAACATAAGTAAATTCTTACTTCTCTAATGACGTCATCAAGAGCCTCCTTCAACGGCTGTTCAATACGCCTCTTGGGGTTTGCGTGGCTGACAGAGAAGACCGACTTGCTAATGAAGTCGAACGGAATGATGTCTTCGAAAGTCGATGACTTGTATCTGCCCATGTCCAACGGGGCTCCTGAAAAATGTAGTTTAAACGATTAAGTAGATAGATAGATAGATAGATATATAGATAGATAGATAGATATACACTTTATTACTCTCACACAGGAAGAAAAACAGTACATAGACAGCTTAAAACTAATGTGGGCAAAGGCGGCCTTATCGGTAAGGGCGATCTCTTCCAGACAACCTATAAATAATTAAAAACGATATAGTGTACCTACATGTATATTAGTATGTATAAATACACCTAAATAACTTACTAATAAATAAATACACGTTGCAGACTAGAACAGCGTCAGAAGATATTTACGCAATGCAGTTTTGAAAATGGGAAGCGACTTTGAATGTCAGATTTCAGACGCGAGTTCATTCCATGGTTGTGCAGCCTTCATTGTAAAAGAGTTTTTGAAAAACTCCGAGCGAATGAAAGGTGGTTTTGAGTAGGTTATCCGTTTAGACATAAGTTCACGGTTGTGATCCTCCCCGAGGAAGCGAAAACGATCCTTAAGGTAAGGCGGACTAGGGTCATACACAACGTTATAGAGAAAGCTGAGAACGTGCTCCTCGCAGCTAAGGCTAAGTACTTAAGAATAATAAATCGGAAAAGATCTAAACTGTGGTGGTTAGGGATATCGCACGTTGAAACTAATACCACCACTAACTGAAAATCTCGCGTTTTTAAAAATTAAACACACACCGGCACACATAGCGGAACAAAAACAGTGAGAATATAACATAGTAACGTTTATATTTAAATAAATAAGATATTTTTTTACGCACACACTCAACATAGCCCCGCACTAGGGAAACCCTGTGTCGCGGGTGCCATGGACACACACACACAGACAACCATAAAATTTATGGTAATTTAATGTAATTTAATTACACCCAAACTCACGAGAGAAATAAATGTAGGCCATACAAAAGTTTCTCCCGGCCCGGGAATCGAACCTGAGACGTCTGCGTGGCAGTCAGGCACGGTAACCGTTAGAATTACACATAAAATAGCAATTAAAACATCTTTTAACATCAACTTAGCACAGCCTTACTCAACCTTTATAAAAAAAACAAAATTAAACAAAAGGTGAAAATTAAAAAATTGTAAGTCTAATATTGATGAAAGTAAACATCAATAAATTAAAAACTTCACTAGTTTGTTATAATTATTAATAGAAAGATTTAAAAAATTCCAAAATGCTTACAAAAAATTGCTTCGCCGGATGGCCGGAGCCGAACCGACGTCTTCTAGCAAACCGTGTCAGACACTATGCTAACTAAGCCACGGAACGAACAAGCGGACCTCACAAATTTTTCTTTGTGCTTGTTGTTGGATCTTTGTATTTGGTTTTTCAACGACTTTTTAGCCGTAGCGCCATCTATGAGAAATCCAAGATTTCTCTATATTTCTCTATGATCTATCGATAGAAATCTTTGTATTAATATTTGTAACAAATTAGTGGAGTAATTTCACAAAAAATAATTGAATATTAATTCAATACAAATTTAAAATAAAAAACTTATTCAGCTAAAGCTCGATAAACTTGTATTATTTTCTATATATTCTTAGAAATTAAAATAAGTTAATGAAAACAATGACAGTCGACTAATTTCTTATTTTCAAACCAGACCTAAAAATTAAAAACAAAACAAAATAACCGAACCAGAATTTTCAAAAAACTGCATTCTTTTGAGAATTTTATAACGTCCCGTTAAATGTGCAATGTAAAAGAATAATACACGCAAATATTTTTTTAAGAACTGTTATTTGGATTTGACTGGACACAATAGGCGATTCGGCAATCTTTTTGTTGCCCAATTTGTTAACATTCGCATTAATTTATGTTCCAAATCAACACCAAATTCGGTGTGTCGGCAAAGTAAGAAACGCTTGCTAATGGCTTTCCTTGATTTCGACATAGTGCTGCTGTTTTTCTACCTGCTTCATTTATTAAATATAATAGAGTATATTAGGCACTTTGAACATTATTTTCAAATTACGTCATGTATTATCATACATTTACCTGCCTACCTAAACAGTTTACGTGCTTGTAAGGCATAGTTCACATTACCGCGGAACGCAATGAAAGTTACTTTTTGTTCATCATTATCAACCCATTTGTACATCCCATTGCTGGGCACGGGTCTCCTCTCAGGCGAAAGCTTAGACCATAGTCGCCCACGCTGACCCAATGTAGGTTGGGTTAGGTTAGGTTAGTAGTATCGTAGTAGTAGGTAGCCAAAAAATAGGTAGCACGTGTTCTGGAAAATTCTCATGCAGTCTAGGGAATTCTCGCATCGTATCTTTTAGTAGCAGTAGAGCTCCTTGTGACAGAGTTCCTCCAAGGTAGTACTGCCACCTTAACTATTTCTGCCGCCAAGCAGTAATGTCAGCGTTACTGTGTTCCAGTTTTAAGGGTAAGGGTGCTGGTGAAATTACAGGCTCATGGGACTTGTCAACTTATGTCTCAGAATGACGAGTGCAGTGGCAATGCCCCTAAGATCTTTGCAATTTAAAGCTCTGAGTGACACTGTAACTGTTATGGACAAGTATGTAGCTTACCATCAGACGCACGACTTGTTCGACCCGTCACTTGATGTTATTGTATTTAGTTTGTACGTTAAAGTCCATTGCGCTATGTGCACAATTTCGTTACAAAAATTAGTTTCTTTTCCGTTGCGGCAAGGTATATTGAGTCTTAATATTGTAAGGCTGATTATTTCATAAAATTTTATTTATTGCAGCATATAAAGTTTACAAAGATCTTAAAACGTAAACATTTTAGTCTTTATTATATGAGACACTGCAAGGGAAATAGCAAAAAAAGATTACACATGGCGCCACAAAAAAGTACACACGCAAAAAAAGATCACACACGTGTATGAAAGTGTGTATCAGTGTGACCAGATTTAAATTGATGATCCTGCTAGCTTTTCGGCTAAAAACTGCTAAAATCTGCAAAACTTTTTGAAAAAATACTAAAATTATGCTAACGGATAACTCATATTTAGTATAGAATTAAACTCTACTTGTATTTATTTTGTATTTATTTATTTTTATTTTTTTTTGTATTTATTTATTTATTTGTATTTATCCACTTTTCCACAAAAAGATCCATTCTGAACTGGGTTCACAAAGCTGTTATATATGTGTATGTATGTGTGTGTGTATATATATATAGTAAAAATCTAACTACAAGTATTTATTACCTTTAATGCATCCCCGACTGTATCTACCACAGAATATTATTAAGACCTGTACTACAGAATAACTGAGTATTAGTTTATTATTATAATTTGATTGTTATTTTATCAACTTTCCGCAGTAAATAAAATATAAATCCAATGCAATTAAAATGTATATGGAAATACCAATGCAAAATTCTTAATTGAGATTAAGATCCGTGAACTTTCACTTAGCTGGTCCAGGCGTGTAAGGCACTCTGGCATTGTACTATAATAGTATAGATTTTTGTAGGACTTCGTATTTATTGAAATCATAAATTCGTCACTTACCGATGACTGTCCAGTATATCCAATAATGCTTTTTTGATGCTTGGCTGTATTGACGTGATCTTTTAATATTGAAAGACGTGGTACTAATTTGGTATTACAAGCTTTACAAAAAGCTGAGTTGGAGTCATCCTTGGCTCTTGATAGCCACGATGAAAACATAGAATCTCCCTCCCTCTCAGAACGGTAGTTCTGCTCGTAACTCCTTTTCGTTTTTGTACATTTGCACAGAAAACAGAAGTAAATGTCTAAAAACGAATCTTGCTAAATATCAGCTAATGTTTTACTAAATCCTGCTAAATCTGCCAAGCCCTAAATTAGGGGTCTTATCCTGCTAGAATCGCAGGATCCTGCTAAATCTGGTCACACTGGTGTGTATGCAAATGCAAAGGCGACTACAACCGCTACCGCAATGGCCGCGGTGGTACTATTGTAACGGCGGCGCCGTGTATAAACAGCCTTAATATATTTTTAACATATATCTTTTAGAAAGAGATTAACGTTAAGATTATATACAATCCCAAATTGCTTTGGCTGAATAGTGAAGGGGTTTAATTTAATCAATAACTTTGGAAAAAATGTATAGTAAAATGGAGGATACACACTGATTACTATATGATGTGAAAACACGATTTTTAAAAATTTTCATGATGGAAAAAAACACAAACTTACTTCGAACTTTTACAAGAAAGCCTCTGTATTCAAAGGTACTTTACATATACCAATGATTTTTTTTTTTATCAACTGAACTAAATAGAACACAACATACATTTTTTTAATGTTTTTTAACTGCCTCAGTGGCCGAACGGTTACCATGCCGGACTGCCACGCAGAGGTTCCAGGTTCGATTCCCGGGCCGGGAGAAATAGTTGCATGGCCTACAATTATTTCTCTCGTGAGTTTGGGTGTAATTTGTGGTTGTCTATGTGTGTGTCCATGGCACCCGCGACACAGGGTTTCCCTAGTGCGGGGCTATGTTGAGTGCGTGTGCGTTTTTAATTTCGTTTGTAAAAAAATAAATTGTGAAATAAAGGTAGTGTCCCTGCCGTACCACCAAAGCAAAACGAACCGTATTAGTACGAGAAAAATTTGAATACGAGGTGAGGTAGTGTCGACTCTTAACTTATAGATTAGTAAATATGGTTCATGAAAATGGAGTACAGAAAATACGTTCATATTTTAACAAAAAAACCTTCCTACCTAAAATCGTGTTGTCTCCCAAGTATCCCACTTCTCCGACCTTAACAGGAAATAGAGGAACGTCCCCAGGCAGCATATAATCTTCAACCTGTTCTGGAGGAACCTGCAGCTCGTGCATGGAGGATGCGATGGCGCGATGCAGATCGAGGGACTCCTCGCGGATTTCTTGGATGCGAAGGTTCTAAAACAAAAAAAAACTACCCTTAAAAAAATATACATGGAATCAGTCGTAACCATGGAACCTGTAAAAGGCCGGAAAAGTTTCTTTGTTTGAAAAACAAATACACGCGATTTAGACACGAAAAAATTTTTTTCAATACAACTGTAATAAAACAAATATTCATAATAATGTCTGATTGATAATAATAATCAATAAATGAAACAAAAATTTAGTTATGCGACCGAAGCTTTTACCGTTTATTTGTCACATCAATGTTAACTCTTTTATTTTTTAAACTATGTTTTAACCTATTTATCTATATCGTTTCACTTTTAAATATTTTGGATATTTTCAATTTCCGATTGCTACGTTAACCATACTCCCGTCTAAAAAGGTGCGTTGTAATTCGATTTATTGTTGTTTAACAACTTGCAAAATTGCAATTTTATTACACGTGTTCCTTTGTTTTTCATCTATTCAACCTTAAAATGATTACGACACCTTTTTGACTTCACTCAATTCCGATGAAATACTGATCGTTATTTCAAATCACTTATACAATGACTGCTTTTATGACGCATTTCAGACAAAACATATAACTTTAGTATGCTACATAAATCCTTCAAAGGAGCTACTAAAACAACAGAAGATCAAAGTAACCGTAAACACTAGCGCCTGCAACTTGTAATTCGCCGGATCTAATACTGTAGATCTAGGTAATTGACCTTTTACGCAAACACAAGGAAGTCGCAGCTGAAGATCATCTTGCATGTTAAAGTTACTATTGGTTGGTTGATGTTCTTTGTGAAAAGGTGTTCAGTACTACATAATTTATTTTTCTCAAACGTGCTC